GGGGCTACATTCTTGGACCTCTAAGCTCTAAATCTGTGATCTTGTAAATGTGAAATGTCAGAGCTGGGAGGGAGCTTAGGACAGGGGATGTCAGGGCTGAGAGGAATCTAAGAACGGAATATCAGAGCTGGGAGGGAGCTTAGGACAGGGGATGTCAGTGCTGGGAGGGGCCTCAGAACAGGGGAAGTCAGAGCTGGGAAGAGCCTTAGAATAGAGGATGCCAGAGCTGGAAGGGAACTAAGGACAGGGGATGTCAGAGCAGAGAGGGGCCTGAGAACAGGGGATGTCAGGGCTGAGAGGAATCTAAGAACGGAATATCAGAGCTGGGAGAGAGCTTAGGACAGGGGATGCCAGTGCTGGGAGGGGCCTTAGAACAGCGGATGTCAGGGCTAGGAGGCCTTTTAGGGATCCACCAACCCAATACCCTGATTTTATAGATAAGGACACTGACACCCAAAGGAGGGCAGGGACTTGCTCAGAATTGTACAACTATCCTTTCTTTCCTATTATTCAGCAAAAACTCTGACCCAGTGTGCATCTTCCTCAAGGTCAAAAGTTGAGAATGTCCAAGCCTCAGAGGAGGCAGGGATGCCAGAGGCTCTCTGATACTGAGTAGGGCTCCCTCTACAACAAAACTCAACAAATCAGGGCAGCTAGGTGGCACCCACCCTGGAGTCAGGAGGACCTGAGTTCAAATCCAGCCTCAGACACTTGGCACTAGCTGTGTGACCCTAGGCAAGTCACTTATCTTCAATTGCCTCACCAAAAAAAAAAAAGCAACAAATGGCCTCCACATCAGCCCCTTCTCTTTTGGGTCATCTACTCAGGAGACCTCTGTCCTAGTCCCAGCTCTGTGCCTTACCAGGCATGTGTCCCTGGCTAAGTTAAGTCACTTTTCTCTGAGTCTCAGTTTCCACATCTATAATATGGAGATAACAATGCCTGTTTTTCCTCCCTCAAGGAGTGAGATCATGCCTGCAGAAATTGTTTGTAAGCAGCAAAGGGAGGGAAGGGGTTGGTATTGCTAATAATAATAATTCTCTTACCCAGTTTCCCTTTCAGAAGCAGAACTGAGCACTATACTCTGGTGGACAGAGGTGCTCACAGCTGGAAAAGGAAGTGTTTTACAATCAGACTTAGGGCTGGAATTAGGGTTAGGGGTCTATGGCCCCTCTCATTGAGTTTAATCCCCTCATTTTCCATGGAAGGAAGTTGAGGCTTAGCCAGATTAAGTTATTCTCCCAACTAGTGAGATTCTGAGGCAGAATTCAGGCCCAGGTCTTCCCAACTCTAAGCCCTACTCACTACACTGTGATTCCCAACCTAGAACCTCTCTGGGACCAGTCCTTTCCACCCCCTATCCAGGCAAGGATCTGAATCATGACACAGAGACAGGGGTATCCTGAGCACTGTGTACCCCACCAAGTCCCAGCTTTTTATGGACCAACTCTTCATGGCCCACCTTCAAGGCTCGTATTCCTGGTAGAGAAGGGAAGCAGACTTCAAGAGGCAGCCTGGGGTGGCCAGAAAGAAGCCTGGATTTAGAATCTGAGGACCTGGATTTGAATACTGACTCTACTACTTGCTACCTGTGTGTTCTTGAGTAGATCATTTCCCTTCCCTAGGCCTCAGTTTTCTTTCAGGGTTCCTTTCAGCTCGATGACCCTTCCAGGCTTCACCAGGATGTGGCCAAATAGGACTTAGGGCCCTGGGAGCCACCATGACCTAGGGAGATTTGGGGCCAAAATCTCCAGAGTTTCACTCAGAAATGACAGTCTAGGAGTTCTTAGTTTCCAGCATTGTCTCTACCTACTCATTTCCTGCTTCTGCCCATTGCTAGCTCTCTATGCCTCCCCTCCCCCACATACCTACCAGGGCAAGACACCTGCCTCACACTCTCAGGGGGCATCAGTTACAGGACTGGGAAGGAAGGAGAGAAAAGCGAAGCCAGGACTACTCTTGTGGGGGGGGTAGCATTGAGGCCCAAGGTTGGCCAAAGTCCACCATGACCACCATCTACCTGAACTGACATGACATAGGCAGCAGGTCCTGCTGGGAGGGCCTTTCCAAGCCAAAAACTGGAGGTGTTGCCAAGCATAGGCTGGGAATGAAGCCAACCCCTTTCCGGCTCCATTATCTTGGGATGCCCAGGAAGGCGGGAGAGCCAAGCACAACCCACCAGTACCATCTGCATGCTGCATGTGCTGTGAGGAGTGGGGAGTAGGAGAAAGAGAGGAAAAAAACCCATTCTCTGTCTCCATTTCCTTCCACTTGGGAATTCGGGTGCTGCTCATATTTCCAGAGAGGCTTCCAAGTTTTCAATGGTACCCAGTCATGTAGGTACTTCGTCAGGACCAGTACTACACATCAAGGGAGTAGAAAGCCACTTGCTGAATATATAGAAACATGGAAGACTCCATGATCCTTGTCCCCACCTGCTCCAAATGGGCACAAAAGCCTTTCACTCTACAGTGAGAGAGCTAAGGAAGGGCCGTCTCTAGGTATCTGCAAATCCTGTTACAGCTGAAGAGACACACCCACCTTGCTTTGGTCTACCATTGTGGTAGAGTAGGGAAAACAAACCCTAAACCCCAGGTTTGAATTCAGCTCCTCCACAATCTGTGCGACCTTGAGTAAGTAATTTGCCTCTCTGGGCCTCAGTTTCCTCATCTTTATGACCTTGGGGGTTGGACTAGGTTCCTCCCAGTTCAGGCATCCTGTAGGCCTTTGATGCCTGCCATGTCCATGCTGTGCCTGGAGTATCCTCTCTCCTCACCTTGTGGAGTCCCTAGCTGCCTGCAAGTTTTAGTTCAGGGACTACCTCCTGAATGAGGCCCTTCTTCATTCCCCAATGCTTTCCTCTCCTCCTCTCCCACTTTTCCCCTTTCCCCTCCTTTTTCTCTCTTCCTCCTCCTTGTTATTTTTTATTGACTTATCTGCGCACATATGATACTCCCCACGGTAGAATATAAGCTTCTGGAGGGCAAAGGCTGTCTCCCTTTTGTAATTTTATCCCCAGCACCTAGCACCCAGCCTAGGACCCAGTAGAGTGTTTTGCCCAGGGTCTCACAGATGAGAAGTGTCTGAGATCAGATCTGAACTCAGGTCTTTCTGACTCCAGGCCCAGTGCTTTACCCACCATGAAGCCTAGCTGCTTCTGAGCAGAGCTTAATAAATGTTTGTCAAATTTTGAAGCTTTGATTCCTCAGCCTCCAGCCTGCCTACCTAGAAAAATGTAAGGAATTAGAGGAGGTTTAAATTGCAAATCCTGTACTTAATCCTGAAGGCAGGGACTTTTTCTCTCCCATCTAATATAGGGCTTCCTTTTCTTGAGGCTAGTGATTCCCTAAAAGTTTGCTGAAATGAATAACAGAACCATAGATTTAGAGTTGGAAGGTCATCCGGTCCAATCTTTTGATAGGTGGAAACTGAGGCCCACAGTGACTTGTCCCAAGTGACTTGTCTAAGTGTCATCCCTAAGGGGACAGAGTCAGGATTGAGATCTGGGTCCTCTGGCTCCAAATCCCATTCCTGACCTTTGACAGTAGGTCTAATGGGACATGGGGGCTTGGGAGGAGAAGAGGGGTGAGGGAGGAGTGGAAGGCAGCAGTCTAAGACAGGAGCTATACAACTCTTCATCAGGCATCAAAGGCCTACAGGATGCCTGAACTGGGAGGAACCTAGTCCAACCCCCAAGGTCATAGATGAGGAAACTGAGGCCCAGAGAGGCAAATTACTTACTCAAGATCACACAGATTGTGGAGGAGCTGAATTCAAACCCAGGGTTTAGGGTTTGTTTTCCCTACTCTACCACAATGGTAGACCAAAGCAAGGTGGGTGTGTCTCTTCAGCTGTAACAGGATAATAAAACTATTATTTGAGATAGTCTGACCTCTCATGACTGCTGTGACCATTCCTCAAGTGCCCTCTATATAAATGACAGTTCTTCCTCCACTCCTCTCCAGAGGAGGGCTGTGCCCTATCTTTTTTTTTAAGGGGTTCTCTAGATCCCAACTGTCGCTTCCCCCCACCCCCACCCCTGAGAGGCCATTCTCAGAAGAATGGAAAGAGAAGTCCATTGCCCACAGGCAGGAGGCTGCAGGCAGCAGCCCCTGTGAAACCCGGGCACAGAGCCCAGCATTTCTCGCTCTTAGCTCCTTCTCCCTGGGGTAGGGAGGGGTAGTGGCTGGCTCTGAGATCATTCAACCACCAATAAAGGCAAATTCTCAGCCGGGACCCTTTGGGAAACTAGCAGGAGCCCCGAGCGGGGACCCTCTTGGGGCTGGGCTCGGCCAGCTCTCCCTAAACCCTAATCTGCTCTCCAGAGCAGCCTCCTGTCCCTCTGGCCCCTCTAGGGAGGGCAAACAGGGCGGTATGGAGGAATGGGAAGTCTGTACGGAGGCTGTCCTTGGGTCTCCTAACAGACTCAGTCCTACACCAGCTGTTTTCCAGGAGAAGGGAGTTAGCAGGAGAAGCCCCCCCGACACCCCAAGGCCTCCCTCTGATCCTTGGGAGATCCTGAAGCTATGAGGATTTAGAACTAGCCCAGACCTTAGAGATCTCGCCCATCCTCCCTACATTTTACAGAGAAGAAAAATGAGACACAGGCAGGGAGGAGGGGACTTGCCCAAGGTCACACAGCGGTGAGAAGACTAGAACCCTATTCTTTCCATCCAACCTTCTTTTCACTCCACAACCCGAGTTCAGTTTTGGCACCCCTGAAATGGGCACCATGTTTGCACTGCCTGCCCTGCGGGCTGCAGAGAGGAGAGCGCTCTGCAGACCTTGGAGAGCTCAAGCAATTCATTCACCAACAGGCTGCTTAGGAGGCGCCTCCTCCTCCTTGGAGTGGGGCTCTGCGCTGGACGCGGGGGATACAAAGACGGGAAGGCGCCAGCAGTCCCTGGCCTCCGGGAGCTCCCGGTATGCTGCCGGGCCATTGAGGTTCTAAGCACCGCGGTTCTCCCCGAATCCCTAAGCCCGAAGGGGCGGCCGCTCACCTCGATCTTCTCGATCCTCTCCTTGAGGGCGCGCACGGCCTCCTCCAGCTCGCGGACCACGGCCGGGGAGTCCCAGGCGGGGCCGTCGCTCATGGTGTCCTGGCGGCCCGGGGGCGCCGTGTCCTGGAAGGGGAGCTGCAGTCCGCTCTCGCAGCGGCCCAGCTTGCCCGTGAGCTCGCGGATGGCCTCCTGGTCGGCTCGGATCCGCGCCTTCTGCTGCAGCGCCGTCTGCCGCAGCTGCTCCGCCGTGCTCTGCAGGGCCAGCAGCTCCTCCTCGCGCTGCCGCTGCTGCTGTTGCTGCTGGCCCGAGCCCGGCCCGTCGCCCTGCACCGCGGACCCGTCCGACGACGTCGGGCACTCGGCGGCCAGCGGGGTGCACAGGAAACGGCTGAAGAGCAGCGGGTGCTGCAGTGGCCGGGCGCTGGCCAGCAGCTCGCCGCCGCCGCCGGGCAGGGGGAGCTCGTGGGGCCGGCCGAGCTGCCGGGCCCGTGCAGCGCGCTCAGGCTCTGCTCAGGCCCGGGGGGCAGCAGAGCCGCGGCTCCAGCGCTCGAGTCATTGTCGGCGGCAGCCCCGGAGGGCGCCCGGGCCGGGCTGGCCGCCGGGTGCACGCTGGCGATGATGCACACGATGGCACCGAGGAAGGCCAGCATGCCCGCGGCCAGCAGCACCGCCAGGAACTTCAGGGTGGCGCGGGCGGCGGGGGGGCCGCACGGCCCCGTACACGCGGGCTGGGGAGTAAGGGGGGAGACGGACTAAAGGACGGACGCGAAGGGACGTGAAGGAAGCCCAGCACGCGGCTGGAGTTGTTGCTACTTCTGCTAGTGCCGCTGCTGCTGGTGCCGCTGCTACTGCCGCTACCGCCGCCGCAGCTCTGAGCTCGACTAGGGCTAGAGGAGGGAGTGGGAAGCTGCGCCAGCCCCGCCCCTCTCCTCCCGGCCCCTCCCCTACACAACCGGGTCCGGCCCCACCTGCCAGGCCCGCCGGCCCAGCGAGGCCAGCCCCGAACTCCGGCTTTGCGCCCCCGCAGCCGAGAGCCTTGATGGTCTCTGTAACGGAAGGAGGGACCCCCACCAGAGAAAAGGGGACACAAGGGTGCCTCAGAGAACCCTGTCTTCCCTATCCAAGCCCAACTCCCCCTTTCCGGGCCACAAGGGAAAAGATGACATCCAGCCTTTTCCAAGCCTTGGTCCTCCCCCCTCCCCATAATACAGTGAGAGTTCTCTGGGACTTGCACAATTCAGCCCCCATCCCTCTCTGTCAGCCCGAAAGAAGGGATGGGGACATTCATTCATTCATTCATTCATTCATTCATTCATTCATCTTCAGAGATTTCCTTCCCCTCCACCCAATGCTAACTGTCCTTTCCATTCCCCTTAGCATAGTCCTGGCTTCTCTTCCATTCTCCACAGGGTCATAGATACAGAGTTTGAACGGACGTCAGAGACAAGTCCAGTCTCCTCAACCTGACACAAAGAGGGACTCGGCCAGGGTCACAGAGCTAAAGTGTCTGATGCAGGGTGTGAACCCGTGGTTTCCTGACTCCAAGTCCAGTACACCATTACAGCGGTTACCTTTCTCTGCAATCCACTCTCTTCTCCATCACATCAAAAGGGAAGAGTATTCAGGGGTCTTCAGGGACCACTATGTCCTGAGCCTAGCTCCCCACCTTTACATAATAGGGGCAGGTTGGGGGGGGTGAATTCCTATGATCTCAGAGATACCTCTCTCTACACTCTATTCTCACTCTCTCTGGGTCCTGATTCTGGCAGAAATTCAACATTCATGTATCCTCAGGGAATCCTCCTTCCTACACCCTAATCCCTGCTCCTTCTGTCCAAAAGGACAAGGAAGGGAATTCAAGGTGTTGAGAAGGGGAAGAGGCCTGCCCCTCTCATTCCAGAATTCCTTTTACTGGTAACATCTCTACTCCCTGCATCCTTCCCCCTCTGCCCCACACTAGTTCAGGACTTGTAAAAATGGCGGCCTAGAGAGTTGGGGACTGCTCTGTAGCTCCACTGTGCCCACGTAGGCTGGCAGCCAGCTATCCCTTTCTGGGGAAAAGGAAAGGAGGCCTCTGTGAAAGTCTTCCCCATCCTTCAAGGCCCAGATCAACCTTGTATTTCACTAGGAAGACCTTGATTAACCTAGAACAATAGAACTTTTCGGAGCAGGAAGGACCCTTTTAATAAACACTCCAACCCTTTCATTTTAGGTGGGGAAACCTGTTTGGAAGAGATTGAGACCAGACTGGTTCCCTGCACTCTGGGGGCCGACAAGAAAACTGATGAAGCTGATGGAGATTAGGTTCAAGTTCTGTCTCCGCCAGTGACTTGCTGTGTGATCCTGGGCAATTACTTCCCTTCCTTGAGCCTCAGTTTCCTTCTCTGTAAAATAAGGGGGTTGAATTGGATGACTTAAAAGATCCCACTTAGCCCTGAAAGTCTCTGTCCTGTGAACCACAATTATCATACAATAGCTTCTCTTTATGTGCTGGATACACACAAAGCCCTTTATAAATGCTGACTGACTGACATTAGAGGGGAAAACAAGACTGATTAATACAAAGTTTTAAAATACAGACATGTGTAAACTGATGCAGAACAACAACAACAACAAAAAAAACCCTGGAAAATAATATACACAATGACTACAACAATTTATGTGGAAAGAACACTGACCTGAAGCTGATGGCTATGTCTCTGTAATGCCCAGTCTTGACAAAAGGAGGATATTAATTTCCTTTCCTTAGTTGGAGAGGTAGAGGACTACAGCTGCAGAATGTTGCATACACTTTCAAACTCAGTCACCATGTTGGCTAGTTTTGCTTACCCTGTTTTTCTTTATTATATGAGAAGGCTCACTGGGTGAGTAAGGTATATTCAAAGGTGGCTATGACATAAAAACTAAAGATGTCAATAAAATACAAATTACAAAAAATACTACAAGACAGTCCAAGAGATATGGCGTACAGCAGACAGTTCAGTGTTACATGAGGACCTCAGATATTAAGTGTTACTTATAGCTCAGCATGGGCTGGGGTCACTGGGAAGGCTCCCTGGCAGGGTCTGCACTAGCCCTGATACTTGAAGGATAGGAAGAATTGGAATAGATTGGGACTCAGAGGGAAGATGCTATACGAAGAATCTGCAAAACAGGAATTCTAAAACACTTGAAAGCGCTCTGCTTTCTTTAGTTTAGAAAGTGCCCATCCACCTTGCTTATGGTATTGATTCATCTGGTACATTAACATGAGAAGGATCTGGGATTCCGGGCAGGGAACTCCGCATGTGGGAATTATCTTTAACAAAACGCACCACACCCTGTCTAGGACTTAGTAAATAGACCCTGGGGAGTTGCCTTAGACACACTGAGGTTATGTGATGTGCTTGTGTTATAGAGCTCTTACTCATATTGAGTGAGATTTGAACCCAGGTCTTCTTAACTTCAAGCACAGCATCCTATCCGCACATGCTGTGCTGCCTCTTCAATTCACCCAGTCCATCCCCCCTTCCTACTCTCCTCCGCCAGAGTTCTGCCATAAACTTCAACCTACCACTTGGCTCAGTGGCCAAAGTGACGTCTGGATGACTTACCTTGTCAATGAATCACAGATGACTGGATTTGGAAGTGACTTCAGTGGGCATCTAGTCCAACCTGAATGGCAATACCCTCTACAACTTCCTGTCAAGTAATCTTCTGGTCTTTTCTTGATGACCTCCAATGACAGGAAACTCACTACCTATCAAAGCATCTCATTCCACTGGAATGGCTTGAGTTTCGAGAAAGCTTTTCATTACGTTGAGCCCGAGTCTGCTCCTAGTTCTGCCCTCTGGGACCCAAGAGAACAGCCAAACATCCCCCTCCCCCTTGTCATTATACAAGTCTTTCACATAAGTGAAGGTTGCAGTCATGTCTCCCAGTCTTCTCTTCTTCTGGATAGCCATCGTCAATTCCTTCCTTGAACCACATTTGGCAAGATCTCTGGCCTCCTGCCCATCCTTGGGCGTCTCTGGATTCACCCAAGATTAACAACTTTTTTTCTTGGTGCAGCGTGAATGGAATCTCACTTCAGTGATGCAGACGGGCAACGGATCTGTACCTTATCGATGTAGACAGTTACCTGGGACACTGAGACTTGGCGTCAGGCACGACAATGGAATTCAAGTCTTCCTGATTCCAAGGCAAGCCTTGTTCTCTCCAGCATGCTGCCACTGGCTTGCCCACATCACTCCAGAAGCAGGTGCCAAGAACTGAACAGAATATTCCAGATAGAGTCTGCACAGGGCAGAGCTAAGTGGAACTTACTTTATTTTTAACATTATAGCTGTCTCAATGCAGATTACAATTGCATTTTGCTTTTTCTGGTGAGGGATCACTGCTGACTCTTAATGAGTGTGTGATCTACTAAAACCTTCCAATTTTTTCAGACAAACTGTTATCTAGCCACACCTCTCTCATCTTATATCATTACAATGTGAACTCATTAACAGCAAGGGACTGTTTTGACCTATTTATACTAGGCCCTGTTCCTGGTACATAGTAAGTGCTTAATAAATGCTTATTGACTGATTGATTACATGTGATTATAAAGTCGATTGTTTGAACCTAAATGTGGGACTTTACAATCTGATCTTATTAGATCCTGACGCTCATTCTTAACTGCTTTTGGAGTCCTGACCCCCTCTGGCAGTTAATCTGGTGAAGTCTGTGGACCTTTTCTAAGAAACATGTTCCTAAATGCATAAAACAAAATACATTGGGTTACAAAGGAAACTGATCATATTTTTGATAAGTTTTATTGAAACAGATTGTATTGAATTAGAATTATCAAAGTATTAAAAAAAAACCCAACAAGTTTGTAGACCCCCAAGGTCAAGAGCCCCTGTTTACACAGCCAGGAGAGCTCTTTCTGTGAATCCTCACTTTGTTATCTGATGTTTCAGCTACTTCTTACAGTTTTGTGACATCTGCAAATTTGCTAAACATGTTGACTTGGTGGCAGGGGGAACAAGTAAGTGTGGCAGTCAGGAAAGCTGAGCTCAGAGTGAGGCACAGAAGAACAGTCAGGGGAGAGAGATCCGAGAATCAGAAAGTTTAAGCTGGAAATAACCCTAGAAATTTTACCTGTCCTGAAGACTCCAAAGCAAAGTCCAAGCAGTCTTGCGCTAAAGGTAAATCAGAGGGAAGCTCTGTTTTTCCATCACACCTAGCTGATCTAGCCACAGGATTTATTGACAGCATCCCACCTGACCTAGGGGTCAAAGGACAAGTGCCCTAACCATTTTACCGATGCCCAACCTTCAATCTCCGAATCTCACAAGGATGTTGGGACCGGGTGGCAGAGAATCCCAGCTGAACCTCAAAACCCCACCTGCACCAATCTGCCCAGCACTGGGCAAGTGGAGCTTTGTGCCTGGGGGGAGAGGAGGGGATTTAGAGGGTACCAAAATCAGGGTTCTGGGGTATTTCTCCCCTCTACCTGCCACATCCATGCTTCAATAGGCTTGGCTTTCATACTCTCTGGTAACATCCTAAGACAATCCTATCACTCCCCCTCCCTTTACACCCCCTATCCCACCCCAGCCTCAGTGCAGAAATTCTAGCTATGGTTATGCAGATGAGCAGAACAAGCCAGGGTTCGAATCCTACCTCTGGCGCTCATTACCCATGTGACCTAATGAAAGTCAGCCAATCAGTATAGGATTCAGTCTCCTCATCTGTAAAATGGGAGAGGGTGGGCTGGATGGCTCCTGAGGTCCCTTCCAACTCTGGAGCCACGACTGGGTGACTTGGTGCCTTCAGCACTTCGTACAGACGGAGGCCCACAGCACACTGAACCCTCCTCTTACTCACTCTGGCCAATAAAGGGCTATCTGAATGTCCATGCCTTTGGCCCCTGTGATGGTGTGGGACTGCCTCTTCCAGACCTCCCTGGGGGGGTATCTGGCCCCCATTTCTGTCTCCTGGAAGAATGGGCTTGTGCATCCTTCAGAGAAAACCTAGCCTTAATGTCTTCCATATGCTGCCGTGTAGAATATTAATAATACCAGCTCAGTACAAAATGTTCTGCTGCTTTTCTCCAGGGGAATAGGCCTTGTATCCAGGAGACTGACAAGAGGCATTGAGCAGCCCTGCGTCAAGCAATCTTTCAAAGAATGGTAGCTTTACAGAAGGTGAAACAGAAGCCAGCGTGTCGTGAGAGCTGTGAAGAGAACTTGAGGCTAGAAACTGGTACAGCAGGGTTCTGGGCAGGGCCAGCTCTGTGTGTGGCTGCCGAGAGCAGATGCCTCCAGGATGGACTAGCAGGCCCCCCTGCCCAAACTCTCTCTCCACTGGCCTGCCTCTGTGCCTGGCAGCCCCCCATTAGCCTTGCCTCCCTTTGGACTGAGGCGCTCGGGTCCCCAGGCATCCTCTGGGAAAATGAGGGTGGAAGGATTGTAAAATAGGAAGCTGAAAGATGAGAAAGGCTTTGGAAATGGTAGAATGCTGGCAGAAGTGAGGGGTACTCATTAGTGAGATGTCTCCTGTGGTCTCTGACAGCCTCTTCTTGCTTGAAAGATTTCTTTTTCGTGCAATAGTGGCCAGAGGGAGGGATGCCCTCATTTCACACAGATTCTTTCTCTTCTGTGTTGACCTCCTCCTATGGCTTTAACTGTCCCCACTTCATGGATGATCAAACTTGCAGCCCCATTCCTGACCTCTCTCTCCTGGGCTCCAGACTCATGTCTCCAACTACCCTCAACTCACAGACTAGACATTCTCCAGGCTGTCCTGAAATCCCATGAACTGTACTTGGGATGGTTCCCAAAATGGAATCATCATTTCTCCCTTTCAAAAAAAAATGTTGCCTCCCACCCTCCATTTCCTCATATATTCTTTGTCTTTATGTCCCAGTGCAATGTCTGGTATATAGCAAGTACTTAATAAATGTTTATGAGAGCTTGGCCCTAAGAACAGGTATGAGAAGACGCTCTTAGAGATTCCTCCTCAGACATGAGCCAAAGGGGCATGGCAGCAGAACACTGAGTATCTTGTTGACGTTTCTTGACATATTGATCAGTTTTACTGACATTATTTTCTTCCTTTAAAAAAAAACTTTGTTATATGGGATAGTTGGGGAGGGGACATGGGAAAATGTAGGTGATGTAAAAACAAAAATACCAATTAAAATGTATTTTAAGATGCTTGTTAATTGATTTATTCTTCCTCTCCATCATCCAAGGTTTGAAACGTCACAATACAACCTCCTCCCTGAAACTCCACCCCCACCCTCCACTGTGCTGTCTGGCATGCCTGTGCCATAGGCAGCCTACTAGCTTTCATCTGAAACCTTGTCCTTCCATTCCTTCCATCTTCTTGTACCCCAAGCCCTGACTCCTTCCTGGTGACACAGCCTCCCTGGCTGCCCTTTTGAGCACTGGCTGAATACTCACTCATCTCCTCCCCTCCCTCCATCGTGGGGAGGGAACTGGAATTCTCCTTGCTCCTCATTGGGACTTCTGGGCTTTCCCTCTACCCTTATCACTTAGCAACGTCTTCTCCTCTGAGGTTCACTCAATCCACATTTAGCACCCAATCAAGATTCTGAAAACTCTCATCTACCAACCTCCAGGCACTCTCTTCCTCCTCCTCCTCCTCCTTCTCCTCCTCCTTCTCCTCCTCCTCTCTTCTTCTTCTTCTTCTTCGACTTGACAAAGCCAGTAAACTCCTGAGGCGAGATTTGAGTCAGGTCTTCCTGACTCCAGGAACGGCGCCACCTACCTGCCCCTTGGCTTTCCTTCTTCAATGAATTCAGTGCCTGACTTATGATCACAGAAAAAAAAAATGAAGCCATTCATCTAGAGATCCTTCATGTCCCCTCCTCTTCATCTCACACCATTCAGATGCCTTCTGCCTCTATCTACTCTTTCATCCCGTCTCACATGAAGAGGCGACCCTTCTTGCCAAGACAAATCCCTCTCCCTACACAAGCGATCTTATTCCATCTCATCTTCTCCAGTAGACCTCCTCTTCTGTCATCTCCAATCCTTGCTAATTCCCGGTCTCTTCCTTGTCTACTATCTCCTTCTATTGCTACCAATACACCCAAGTCACTGCCATCTTCAAAAAGCTCCCATTGCTCTGTCCATCTCCACTAGCTATCATCCTTCATCTCTTCTCCCAGTCATGGCTATACTCCTGGAAAAGGCTGTCTACAATAGGTGCCAGCACTTCTTTTCTTCTCACTCTCTTCTAATCTCTCCCAAGTCCAGCTTTCAACCTCGTCATTCAACTGAAACTGCTCCCTCCAAAGTTACTAATGGTCGCTTCATTGTCTTTTCTCAGTGCTCACCATTCTTGACCCCTGCAGCCTTCAATGCTGTTTGATCACCCACTTCTACCTGATATTCGTCCCTCTAGGTTTCTCTCCTGGTTCTCCTTCCTATCTAACTGCTCCTATTGTCTCCTTTTCTGGATCTTTTTCCAGGTCACATGGGCTAATGTTAGGGCTCTGTCCTAGGTCATCTTCTCTTCTCTCCATAATTTTATGTGGTAAGCCCCCAGATTCAAAGATCACCTCTATGCTGATTCTCACATATCTAGCCCTAACTTTTCTTCTGATCTGCAATCTCTCATCTCCAAATGTCTATGGGACATTGCAAACTGGATTTCTCATAGACATCTTAAACCCAACATGTCCAGTACTGAGCTCATGATCTCTCCCCCACCTCACAACTTTCCTATTACCATCAAGAGTACCAACATTGACCCAGTCACATAGGCTTAGGTGTCAGCCTTGACTTCCACTCTTTCTCACCATCACCCCCACAACCAATTAATTGCCAAGCCCTATAGTTTCAACCTTCCTAACAACTTTGCCTCCTTCTCTGCTCTAACACTGTCATTATCTTGTTGCCAGCCTGCATCACCTCCCTCCTGACTACTGCAATAGTCTGCTGACTGGTCTACCTGCCACAAGTCTTTCCTCACTCCAATCTATCCTCCCCTCTGCAATCACACCACACACCCACCCACACCTACACCCACACAAACACACCCCATTCCATAAACTCCCAGTGGGTCCCTATTACTTCTAGGATCAAATATAAAACACTGGAATCCTACCCCTCACACACATACCTCTCGAGTGTTCTTGCACCTTAGAACCCCCCATACTCTGGGTCGTATGATACTGGTCTCCTGGCTGTTCCTTACACAAGTCTCCTGACTCATGGCTGTCTCCCATGCCTGGGATTCTCCCTCCATCTCTGCTTCTTGCCTTCCTTTAAGTCCCAGCTGAAATCCCACCTTCCACAGGAAGTCTTTCTCTACCTCTTCTTAACTTTAATACCTTGCCTGAGACTGTCCCCTATATATAGCTTGCACATATGTTAGACTTGGAGCTCCTTCTGAACAGGCATTTTTTAAATCTTTCTTTGTGGCCCCTGTGCTTAGCACAGTGCCTGAGCACTTAGTGGGTGCTTAATAATGCTTGTTGACTGACACAGGAAGATGAGGTCCAGAGAGAAAAACAAAAATAATATTTTCCCCACCTGCATTTGAAGATTACACCAGAGACCATGTAAAAGAACCGTTAAGAGCTGAGACAGTATATGAGGTGTTATTATGACCCTGGTCAGGTCCTCGATGATGGCAGAGGAGAGAAAGGCACCAATTTCATCAATAATCTTCAAATAATGTGATTTATTGTATGATTTAAAAATCAAGATTCCTATTCCTTGTCTTTGTATCTTCCATGAAAATTTCTAGATGTGCCATTTGTGTTGAGATTTAGATCTGTGTCCAACCCCCTCATTTTACAGATGGGGAAACTGAGGCTCAAAAAGGAGAAAGTGACTTAGCTCCTATCATACAATCACTGGAACTCAAGGTCTGGAAGGGAAGTACAACTGCCTCATTTTACAGGTGAGGAAACTGAGTCCCAGGGAGGTTTCACTTGTCCAAGGTCTCCCAGGGATAAATGTCCCTTGCTGTTTGCTTTAGAGCAAAAACTCATCCATTGGTGTTGGCATTTTCCCCACAGAGATCCAGAAAGCCAAACAGGTTAATCTAGATACAGTCGGAAGGGACATAGATACTTCTTTCACACCTGTTCACTTATAGATGAGGAAACTGAGGCCCATAGAAGTTATGTGGGCTGCTCAAAGTCAGTTCTTAGAGGTAGAATTCAAACCCAGGTCCTCTGACTAAACTGTGTATTTTCCACTCTTTGCCCTTGTTCTAAAGGCCCTCCCAGCTTTGCCATTCCCTGTTCTAAGGGCCCTACCAAATCTGACATGCCACGTTGTAGGGCCCCTCTTAGCTGACATTCTGCATTCTTTAGTCTACTCCATCCCTACCATCCTAAATTCTAACATTCTATGTTCTAAGGCTTCCTCAAGCTGACATTTCATCCACATCTCCCTCCATCCCTTCCCAAATTCTCCAAAAGAAAGCACTTTCAAGGGCTTTTGCTATTGCATGGCGTGTCTGACGGGGCTTCTGCGATGCAGAAACGAGTGCTCAGCAAATGCTTTTTCATCCATTCAGTGGATCCTCCCATAGCCCCAGTAAGGTGTGGTACCTGCTACAGAAACTCTCCATCAGTATTTATTATTCTTCTCAGTAGAGTGTTCCCTAGATGGGTCAGAAAACCTGACAGGCCACCCTCCTGCAGCTGGCCAGAGCTGTGCCCAGACCCGCCCACAGAGAGTCATCCTGGAATCCAAGATGCTCAGGCAAGGAAGTTCTGCCCTCTCAGGTCAATTTGAAGCCCTAACAGAACAAGTGTTTGTCATTGAAGTCCTCAAGGCAGCCTGGAGTGGCTGGGAAAATCACCGCCCTTCTCTGGGTCTCAGTTTCTTCAATTGTAAAATAAAGGCTTAGGCCAGATATCTTTAAATTGACATTCCTTGTTCTATGCTCCCTCCCAGTTCTGACATTTCCTGTTCTAAGCTCCCTCCCAGCTCTGACATTCCCTGTTCTCAGGTCCCCCCCCCCCAGCTCTGACATTGCCTGTTCTAAAGCCCCTCCCAGTTCTGACACCTTTTGTTCTAAGCTCCCTCCCAGGTATGACATCCTCTGTTCTAAGCTCCCTCCCAGCTCTAACATCCCGTTTTAAGCCTCCTCCTACCTCTGATATCCCCTGCTCTAAGGCGCCTCCCAGCTCTGACATGTCTATTCTAAGCTCCCTCCCAGCTGTGACATTCTAGGTCCTAACATTCTTGTTAACTGACATCCTCTGTTCTAAGTGCTAGTTAAGGAAAAAAAGGAGTCTGCCATTCAGAGCCTGAGAAGGCGAGCCAGTAAAGGAAGGGAACCAGGGCTGGGATTGGTGCTGGCCAGTCTCCTGCTGGCTTGGGGTCCGTCCGCGCGCCTTCACAGGTGCCAGGGTCCTGACTCCCAAGATCAGGACGGAACCATTAAGATGAAATCAAGTCAGGAGCACTGATGAAGGTGCCTACTCTGTGGAGATGTAGACCCCAGGGAGCCCGCCCTTTAGAAAGAAAGAAAGCCAGAGACAAGCCGGCAGCCGAGGCTGGGGCCGGAGCAAGCTGCAGCTTTGGAATGTAACAATTTATTGGGGGGCAAAATAGGCTTTTAACTCCCCATTCCTGGCATTGATACAATACGGAAGAGCAGCAGGAGAAACAAAACGTACAATACAAGAGTAATCAGCACAAAACAACCAGGAAAAACCCAACAGAACCAAAAAGGTCCCAAAGCCCGAGACCAGCCAGCTTTTCCACCCGAGACATCAGCTGAGGAAGGGAGGGCGTGGAGGCTGAGGTGCAAAGCAGACGAAGGCAGGGAGGCGGGCCAGGCGTGCGCAGGGGCTCCTCCTCCTCCCCCGGCCCCGCCCCTGGGGGGGCCCCCCCGAGTTCAGCCAGCCGGAGCTGGATATCCAAACAGCGAACACGGGAAACCGAGCCCACACACTCCATTCTGGAAATGAGAAGATGACAGGACCCCCTCCCAAAATATAGAGAGATATGTATGTGTATATATTTATATATAGAATTCATTCGTGCACGATGCTTTTCATTAAATGCGTTTTTCTTTAAAAATCTAAAAAAAATTATAAGATACATTATTCCTTTTAAGGGTTCTTTCTGTTGTGTTTTGTTTCAGCTTTTAAAATTGAAAACAAAGTCTCCACCTCAGCCGTCCAGCAAAGGGAATCCCTCGGCCCCCCGAAGCTCACTTGGCACACGGGAAGGCATGGGCCTGCCCTCTCCCTGCCCACCCCTCCCCCAGGAACAATCCGTAAAGGGGGTGTCGGGAACCCTCAGCTTTTCCTTAGTACCAAGCTTCAGGAGGACGACGGAGAGGGAGGCTTTTCATCAGAAATCCAGGTGGAAAACTTCCTTCTTTTGCAAGGTTTCTCCCAAGGTGGGGGCTTGGGGCACAGAGTGGGTCTCCAAGAGCCCCGGGGAGGCGACCTTGGGCCAGTGCATGAGAACTGGGAATAACGCGGGGTGGAATCAGACCAGTCTGGTCTCTGCAAGGCAAGAAGTGCAAAATGGCGGAAGGGGTTGGGGGATGGGGTGGGGCTGGAAGAGGACAGGCACAGGCCTTGAGCCTGACCCCTGCTACTATAAGGAAGTGGGGAGAGGCACCCCGCCCCCCCCCCGGCCACAATCAAACCGGACAGATCCCCCAGAACCTTTGAGAAAGAGCAGATCCCACCACTTCCTTCATCCATCTCTTCCTAGCAGCCACCTTTGAGGGGCCAGATAAGAGGGTAAATGAAGGCAGCCTCAGAGACCTGCTCTCTGTATCACCGCCTCTGGCCTTCCTCTTTGGGGAGAGAATAGCCCAGGTCCATTGCTGGGCCCAGAGGGATGACTGGCGAGCCTCCAGGGCCCATGGGAGGAGGGGGAATAAGAGGGTCTACTCTCAAAGCCCACTCTGAGAGCCTGGGCCTTCCCCTCCATCTCCTCCCTTGCCCAGACTTCCTGCCCCCCCCACCTCAAAGAGCAGCACAAGGTAGGGCAAAGGGTCCCCGACTTGGGAGTCAGAAGACATGGGTTCAGATCCCGATTCTGCTGTTTACTGTGTCATCCTGGGTAAGGTGCTTTCTATCTCTGAGGCAGTCTCCCTCATCTTAAAAAAAACATTTTTGGGGGGACTGGATCTTGATTTCATTGATGCAGGGGTGCGGCTGAGGAAACCAGCACAGAATGGCGAGTCTTCGGCCCAGAGGGGTAGGTGACTTGCCCAGGGTCACACAGCCAGGGTGTGCCAGAGTTGGGACTGGAACCCAGGTCTTCCTGACTCCGAGGCAGCCTCTTTATCTGCTACACCAGGCTGCCTGTCAATTTTAAAATAGTAGTAACAATACCTTCCTCCCCAAGACTGAGACAACAGATGGGGAAAGTGCTTTGAAAATTGTAAAGCGCTATAAAGAACAGTAAGAATAGAGCCGCCGAAGCTCCCCCGGCCCAGTGGCTGCTGCTGCATGCTGGGGCTGCTGGACGGCCCTCGGAAGCAGGCACCAGTGCCCAGCAGGGGTGGCCCAGTGACACCCCCTTCCTCTGCCCCGCCCTGGGCGTCCCAGCTGCTGCCTCCCAGTTACTGCTTCTGAAAAACCCACGTCCCCCGACCTCACTCACAGATGGGGTAAAGAGAAGGCGATCTGGGGGCTGGTGAGGGGCCACACAGTTTAGACGGGAACAGTCTCACACAGGAGACCAGACCTTGGTATCTATGACAAGTGGGGACAGTGGGGGAACCCAAAAGGCTCTCATGACGAAATCAGGCTTGGGAAAACAGGGTTTGGGGGAGTTGGCATACAAAAATAAAGAGAAGTGGACTGCAGCTTCTGCCTGGTTATGGGGCAAAGGGGAAAGCAGCTGAGGCCTTGGGGAGGGGCACCCCCAGCTCAGAGAGGAGGTACTCAGTCCCCCCAGGGGCGCTAGAAAGGCTCTGCTCCTGGGCCTCGAGGGTTTGGGTGGGTATCTCCCTATTAAGGGGGGGGCAGGGAGGAACTGCCGTCAGTTAAAGCCTCTCCTTCTCCCTGGGACTCCTCCACCATGGTCCTCCGCAGGTGGGGGGAGTCTCTCTCCCCTGAAGCAAAGGGACCTTGCTCCACAGGGGGCTGCAAAGATGCCACTCCCACCCCAATCCCCATGCCCTGGGCCTCCTGTTTCTGCTCCCTAGAGCCCTTCTCTACCCTCTGGGGCATGGCCAGGTCTAGCCATCTCCTCTTCACCCATTCCCAAGCCAGCCCCACTCAGCACCATACACCCTATTCACCCATGTCCTACCTTCAGAGGAAGAAGTAGAAAGGAAGACCTGGGGACCATATCCTGTCATGGGTAAACATGGTGGGACACTGAGCTGTCTCACTTTGGCCCTTTCTCTTCCCCTAGGTTCTGGAGGGGGATACTTTGTGGACCTCTTAGGGTTCCACTCTAACCTCTAGTTGAGCTGGGAGAACAGGAGAGCAGGAGGACCCCTGATGGGTTCCCCACCTGCTCCAGAGATCAACAACTTTTCCCTCCACATGGCCCCACCACAGCTGTGCAATCACAATTATTAGTATTATTTTTTAAATATTTCTTTCTTCCCCCTCCCTGTAGGAATTCCACAATATTTTTTCTGTCTTTTTTCTCTTTTCTTGTAAAACTAGTTCTTTCACTCTCCCATCATAAAATCACCTTTGAAAACATGACTTTCCCCCCCACCCCACCCTTTTTTAAGAAAGAAAGAAAAAAATTTCACAAATGACAGACTCTCAGAAAACACGTTTCTAGGGTCCCTGGGAAACTGCCAGATTTGGGCGCCCAGGTGAACTTTGATCAGAGGGGTGGGGAGGGAGGCCAGCTCTTCCAAGAGGGATAGCCGACCGGCACTTGGACAGCCAACCAGCCAAGGAGGGTTCTGGTCTTTTTCACCAGGGGAAGGAAAGGACGGGCCCATGTGTCCCATGCCCCAAGGGCCGCCGTTCCCAGACCCTCCCAGGCCAGCGGCCCTTACTTCTAACGAGTCCTGAGGAGGGCCAGTGGGCACTACCTGGATGGCCCTGAAGGAGGGGACAGATGGGGTTCTCTTTCCATTTCTCTGCTTCCCTTTCTATTTTCTGGAGTCATTCTATCCCTACCCACACATGTATACACATATACATGTACACACACACACACACACACACACACACACACACACACCTCAAACTAGAATCAAACAACCATCTTGGACAAGACGCATCTACTCCCCCAAACAATTACCCTCTAACCAAGCACAGTATATTAACTGGAGAAAACATGAGCCCCCCTTTGCCGGCTCCCTCTTTCTGGAAGCCCCTCTTCCCCCCCTAAGATAAGCCACTTGAAAGAGGAGGAAGGCCTGAGGGTCTGCTCCTGCCTGTGGAGAGTAGGAAAGATTAGGATCCTCGAGGGAAAGTGGAGAAGATTTGGGTTCTCTGTCCTCCTGGAAGGAGGCTGAGCTCTGTGGCCAGCTCTCTGGGTCTCAGGGCCAGAGAGAACAAGGAAAAGACCACGATGGTCCCAACAGGCTGCCAAGCATGCAGGAGGATCCGATGAGAAGGCCGACAATCCCCAGGGGATGCTGGAAGATTTGCTATGGGCAGTACCACTCCATAATTACTCCCACAGCCAATGAAGGTAAAGTAGACTGAAGAGCAAGCCTTCTACACACAGAGACTGAAGCTCCAATACAAGGTGACTGGGCAGCAGTGGAGAAGGCTGGGGCTACACCCCACAGTGCACACATACACACAGGCACATACACACCAAGATGCGACCGACACACACAGGAAGGCCAGTGTCCCCAGAAGGCTCTGCTAGCACCTTTGGTTGGTGAACTCTAGGGGCCCACTTCAGATCCTGGGTGTCTTTGGAGGGGAGGGGAGGGGGACTCTCTCAGCCCATCTCCCCCAAAGAGGAATTAGGAAGGAGGAAGGCTAGCAGGATATAAAGAGAGGGCTGGCCACCGAGGGAGCTGCCTGGTCCCCAGTCTGGGTGTGGACGGCGGGCTGAGGGGGTGTCCCTGCCACAGAGGGCCCACTGCAGCTGCTCAGGCTGGGGACCATGCTACCAATCAGAGCCTCGAACCCTGGAGCCTCCGATCACAGATGCTGGGCATAGAGACAACCACAGCCTCCATATCTACCCACAGCAATGGGAGGTGGGACACCCTCCCCCCATTCCCAAGTCTAGGAGTGGAGGGTGGTGAGGACGGAGTTAGCACCTGGGGGAAGGAGAAGAGAGGAGAGGTTTCAAAAGCACCCTGTCAGCTGCCAATTTAGCACCGAGAGTGAATAGATGTGAGCACTGGGTACCCAGGTCCTAGTGGTGGGGGAAGGGCAGGAGAGAGAGCACGAGCCAGAACCCAAGGAGGACGTGGCCAGACGCTGCCTTTGCTTCCTGGGCTCCCGATGCCGCCAGGGCAGGTGAGGAGGTGTCGGAGGCAGCAGCCCTGGACAGGGTGGGACCCAGGCGTGTGTCAGAGAGGGCTGGTGGAAGGCCAGAGCAAGGAACCACTACAGCATGGAGCCCTGGGCTCATTCATGACAAACCAGCACAGATCTGTCCCTTCCTCCCCACAGACAAGACTCTGTCTGTCCTGTACCCCACCACCCACCCACAGCTAAGGCAGCCATAGTGCATCTCAGGCACGCCCTGCCCCATCCTTCCAGTCCCCTCCTAGGGCTGGGGGGTGGGTCAGAGAGAAGTGGGGTGCCTGTGAGCCAAATAAAATCAGCAAAGGACAGGCGGGGGTGTGTGCATGGGTGCAGGGGGAGCAGAGGTCAAAACGCTAGTGAATGTGGGCACGAGAGGATCCCCAACCCATGCCCAAGTCAACCCTCCCCTCTGGCTGGAGACCACCAGCTCCCTTCATTTGCTCCCCCCGCTGTTTCCCCCACCCCCCACCCACAGCCCCCTGTGCCACCTTCTCAAAATCCTCAGGGTTGCAGAATTCCTTGATGGTGACGGTCAGGAGGTTGCTGGTGACATCTGTGACCACCACGTTGGAGCAGGGAGACATCTCGGGACGCCAGTCCCCAGCCTCCTGCTCGGGGTCGGAAGAGGAGCGCGGGGGCGAGGACGATGGGGGCGTCTGGCCCCCATCGCCCCCTCCCGGGGGTGACCGCTTGCTGGTGGCTGCAGACTCAGGCGGGATGGACAGGTCAAGGACCTCCGCCTCGCGCCAGTCGGGGACCGCCGGGCTGAGGGTCTCCGGGAGGAGCTTGGGGGGCGAGTCGTCGGGGTCGGAGGACGAGTGCGGGGTCGGGGAGGGGCATCCTGAGGAGCTGGAGCTGCGGATGTCGTAGGGGGCCGTGGCCAGGACGAGCCCCCGGGGAGGCGGGGCGGGGCCCTGGGAGGCCCCGGGCTCGGGCTTGCCGGCCGGCGCAGGGGGTGGTGTCGGGCTCGGCGAGGGCTTGTTGTAGATGGAGAAGGCCCCAAACTTCACGTGGCGGATCTGCGTGCGCAGGATGCTCTCGCTAAACTTCTTGCTCTTACCGATGACCCGGTTGCGGGAGGGGATCTTGGGGCGAGCCAGGGCCCCGCCGCCGGCGCCGCCCGCAGCGCCCTTGGCGCCCTTGTCGATGACCTTCAGATTGAGGATGATGCGGCTTCTCTTGGGCTCCCTGGGCTTCACCTTGCGGTTGATAATCCGCACGGTCTCGGAGAAGGGCGAGATGGGCGGCCGCATGCCCGGGCCGGCGCCCGGCCCTCCGCTGCTCTGCGGGTCCGGCCGGGGCAGAGGGCGCCGGGACATGCGGTGACAGCGACGGATGTCCTTCTTGAGACGATGCACGGCGGCGCTGGAGTGCAGCTTCGGGGAGGTCGAACTGGAGCCGGGCTTGACCGAGAAGTGGACATCGCCGATGCGCAGGGCCTCAGCCTGGGCGCGGGCCTGCAGGGCGGGGCAGAGGGAGGTGACGGGTGGAGGAAAGGGGAGATGCCCACCTGGGAGCAGAGCCAGAAGGCCAGGGTTCTGGAGGCGCCCCTCTTCCTCAACCTCTCCCCCCACCCCGTAAAAGAGAGGGAGGACCTCTCAGAAGGTCCCTTCCACCTCTACCAGTGAACTGAAATGCCTGCAGGAAGGCGGACTGCTTCACCTGGCTCTCTGCTGCCCTCTGGTGGAAAAGCCAGGCATCCTTCTCTAGCTGACTTAACCAAGCTTGGGCTGCTTGGAGGGGGGCCCACCTGGTTCCGTTCCGCTGCGGCTGGGGCCCTACGTCACCCAGCTCCTTCATCCCTTCTCCCAACTGGCACCCTCCTCTCTAATCAGACAGCTCTCCTCCCCCTCCACCTAACAATAACAACAGTAATAACAGCTGGTGCTTCTGTACCTTGGTAAGATTTGCAAAACCCTTTACAAATATGACTCTCAACCAGCCCTGGGAAGTGGGAGCTACTATTTTACAGAGGAGGAAACAGAGGTAAACAGGTGAAGTGACTTGGCCAGGGTCACCCAGCTAGGAAGTATCTGAGTTCTGGCTTCCCAGAAGTCTCAGCTCCTGCAAGAAGGCTTGCTGCCAGTCTTCCTTATTATTGGTGGTGTCTTCCTCCTGAGACAGACCCCCACCCCGATTTCTCCTGTTTGTACATGGTTCTCTTCAGGTGAAGTCACATCACCCCCATGTGAGCTTTCTTTGTATTCCAGGGCTTAGAATGTGGCCTGACATATTAAGCAGATGCCAAATAAATGTCTGATACCTTGAGTGGGGGCCCATCCCCACTCACTGGGCCTCAGGTTTCTCATCTGTGAAATGTAAAGGTTGAATAAGATATCTCTAAGATTCCTGCCAGTTGGAATGGTTTCTGTTCACAGGACCACTGCCCTAGGGCTCAAAAGCCATCTAGCCCCTCATTTTACAGATGAAGAAACTGAGGCCCAGAGGGAGGGAATTACTTAGGATTATAGCTTGGGAATTACAAGAAACTTCAAAGTTTAGTCCAAGCCCCTCAGTTTTACAGATGAGGAAACTGAGGCACAGAGAATCTAAGAGACTTGCCTGAAGTCACATAACTCGTAAACATCTGAGTCAAGATTTGAACTCAGGTCCTCAGAGGACCCCAGAGACAGGGCTCTGTGCCCTGCTGCTCCCCAGTTCTGGTACTCTGTGACTGCGGTGACAAAGTGGAGGAAAGTCCAGATGGGAAAGGGGGCAGGAGGTACCTGAAGGTAGCAGCCGATTCTCTCCTTTCCAAGGAAAGACAGTGGCCTCTCTGCTGCCTGCCCCCACCAATGCCCCGCGGGCCCCAGGTAGGCTACCAAGGGCTTGGAGGAAGTGATCATAACAACTATAGGCATTCATCAGAGGCGTCACCCAGACCGGGCAGACATGCAAAACACGTCACTCTGAGCACAATCCAAAGGTGAAGATAAACTGCCCCAGGAATTTGGCCCCCACCCCCAGCCTTGGTTCTAGGGCCAATGGGGAGAGGTTCTCAACTGGCCTGGCTCACCGTGACCACTCCCCTTTCTGGCTTCCAGCAGCACTGACTGACTAGGTCCATCACTGGACATTAAAACAACAGCAGCAACAACAAAAAACACAACAAAGAATATCAGAGCTGAGAGGGGCCTGAGAATGGGGGATGTCAGAGCTGGGAGGGAGTTAGAACAGGGGATGTCTGGGCTGGGAGGGGCCTGAGAATGGGGGATGTCAGAGCTGAGAGGGGCCTGAGAATGGGGGATATCAGAGCTGGGAGGGAGTTAGAACAGGGGATGTCAGGGCTGGGAGGGGCCTTAGAACAGGGGATGTCAGGGCTGGGAGGGACCTGAGAATGGGGGATGTCAGAGCTGAGAGAGGCCTGAGAATGGGGGATGTCAGAGCTGGGAGGGAGTTAGAACAGGGGATGTCAGGGCTCAGAGGGGCCTTAGAACAGGGGATGTCAGGGCTGGGAGGGACCTGAGAATGGGGGATGTCAGAGCTGAGAGGGGCCTGAGAATGGGGGATGTCAGAGCTGGGAGGGAGTTAGAACAGGGGATGTCAGGGCTCAGAGGGGCCTTAGAACAGGGGATGTCAGGGCTGGGAGGGACCTGAGAATGGGGGATGTCAGAGCTGAGAGAGGCCTGAGAATGGGGGATGTCAGAGCTGGGAGGGAGTTAGAACAGGGGATGTCTGGGCTGGGAGGGGCCTTAGAACAGGGGATATGAGAACTGGGAGGGCGCTTAGGACGTGGCTAGTCCTGGGATCTCAAAGCTGGATGGGTCCTCAGAGACCATCTAGGCAATTCCCCCTGAGGCTCAGAGAGGAAGGCCTGTCTCAGGCTAGGTAGGCAGCCTGGCAGAGGCAGCCCTTGAGGTCAGCTCCTCTAACTCCCTGACCAGGAACTTTGCAGGGCTACCTGGGCTGCTGAGCAGTGGGGTCAGAATATGATATGAGACCAAGCCCCTTGAAGGAGTGGCTGGAGAAAGACCAGGGTGACCCCTCCGTGAGGGAGAGGCATGACCTCACCCCCTTCCTTAGGAAGGGCCTCGTGACTCAGAGCTGGCGGCTGGTCCAAACCCCTCACTTTACAGATGGGGAAGCCGAGGCTCATCCTGGGTGACTGGGGATGTACAGCCCGTCCTCCGTCTCCAAGGCCAGTGACTTTTTAATGCCAGGGCCTGGAGCCCTTTAAGGAGGTTCGTTCTCAGGCTTGCTCCACTCCTCCCACAAGTATCATCAGAGGAGAACCCGGTTTGGCCCCAGTTGAATAAATGCATGCTCCCTTCTCTCCCCACCCCCACCCCACGGCTTCCCTCTGCAATGACCTCGCTGGCCACACGGTGGCACTAGCTGCCTCCCTGGCAGCCGTCCCAGCTCAGGAAGTCTGTGCGTGCAAACAACCCAGATCCCTTCTAATGTCCGGCATTGTTACAAGAATGACAAGAGGGTTGATAAGGAAGGAGGGGGAGAAAGGAGAGGAGGAGGAGGAGGAAGGAGAGGGAAGGGGAAGTGGGAGGAGGAAGAGGAGAAGAGAGGGGGGAGAGGGGAAAGGGGAGGAGGAGAGAGGAGGGAGAGGGGGAGAAGAAGAGAAGGATGGGGGAGGAGGAGAGGGAGGAGAGACAGGGAGGAAAGGGAAGGAGAGGGAAGGGGGAGGGGAGGAGGAGAGAGGAGGAGGGAAGAGGGAGAGGGGAGAGGGGGAGGAGGGAGAGAAGGATGGGGGAGGAGAAGAGGGGGAGGGGGGAGGAGAGGGAAGGGGGAGGGGGAAGAGGAAGAGGAGAGAGGAGGAGAGGGAGGAGGAAAAAAGAGAGGAGGAGGAAGGGAGAAGAGGAAGGGGAGGAGGAAGAGTAGAAGAGAGGGAAAGGGAGTAAAGAGGAGGAGGAAGGGGGGAGAGGGAAAAAAGGAGGAGGGGGAAAGGAGATGAGGAGGGGGAAAGGAGACGAGGAGGGGGAAAGGAGACGAGAAGGGGGAGGAGAGGGGAGGAGGGAGAGGAGCAGCTCCCATTGCTAAAAGCGGTTTACAAAGTGTTTATCAATGCTTGTTAGATGAATGAATGAGGGCAGCTAATGTTAGAAAAAGAAGGGACCCTCAAGGCTCTCATCATCTATTCCCCCATTTACAGACTCTGATGGGGGGGGCTTGTGAACAGACTGCTGGACTTGGGAGTCCTGGGTTCCAATCCCACCTCAGATGCTGTGACAGGACAGGATCTGTTTTTGCCTGTCTTTCAATCCCCTGTGCCCAGCCCAGGGCCTGACACACTGTGGGTGCATAATGAATACTTGTGGATTGATTGCTAGCTGTGTGACCCCAAGCAAGTGAATTAACCTCTCTGGGCCTCCCTCAGCTTCCTCATAGAGATAAGCCCCATGATACTGACCTCCCTGGCTTGCAGTAAGAACCCCAGGAGATAAGGTGTTTATGTCTGCTATCATCATGACCATCAGTCCCAGTGTAGTAGATGGGAGAGACTTCAGAGCTGTGTGAACTCTGAGCTCCCCAGCTCTGAGCCTCAATTTCACCACCTGTAAAATGGGCGCTTTGCAGGCTGGTGAGAGGAAAACTTTTGTAAACTGTGGGAGCTCTGAACACATCTCCATGTTATGTTGAGGAAACTGAGCCCCAAACACTGGGTGACTTGCCCTGGGCCACAAAGCCAAGAAGTAGCAGAACTAGATTGCTCTTTCTACCCCATCAGAAAGCTATCTCCCTTAGGCCCAGGGCTGCAAATACAACACATCCAACATTTATTAAGTGCCTACTGTATGCAGAAATCCACGCTTAGGACCAGGGGAGATAGGAAGATTAGGTGAGAGAGTGCTCCTACAGCACTCACAATCAGTCATTCAACAAACATTTATTAAGCACCTGCTGTATTTAGAGGGCCCCGTCTCCAGGGCTGCACACAACAGGAGCTTAATAAAGAACAGTGTTGGCTGACTGAATGATGGCATGAAACTGTAGATCTGAGGGAAGAAAGGAGGAAGCGAAGTCAGCCATCTCCCCTACTTTTCTCAGGCTGATTCTGGGTTCCCCCGGCTCACTAGGATGTAGGGTGAAAAACCCTGTGCAGGAGAAAGAATACTGGGGAGCCCTGGCTTCTGGTCCCTGGTGAATATGGGCAAGCCAGTCACCCTCTCTGGGCCTCAGTTTCCTTTTCTGTAAAATGGGAGGGTTCAATAAAAGTCTCTTTCCACTCAAGCATTCACTGTCTTCATTCATTCAACAAACATTAATCCTGGCCTATTGTGCGTTTAGTAACCTGGCCCCAATGATCTTAACAACCTCATTCTTCATCACTCCCCTTTGCATCCTCTGCGGTTTAGCCAAACTAACATTCTTACTGTTGCTTACACGGGGTGCTCCATCTCCTTTCTCCACATCTTTGCCCAGATGGTGCCTCCTGCCTGGAATGCCCTCCCTCCTCACCTATGCCTTAGGATCCACTGTCCTTCAAAAGTCAGCTCAAGCACCGCCTACTACGAGAAGCCCTCTCTGACTCTCCCCCCACCCCAAGTGTTAGCATCCTCTCTTCCAAACTGTCTTGTATTTATTCTGCATATTTATATGGACACAAGCTGTCTCTCTGTAGAATGTAAGCCTCCTGAAGGCAGAGACGGGTTTCATTTTTGTCTTTGCAGGCTCTGGCACACAGTAGGTACCTAATAAATGCTTGTTGGGTGAGTAACTGATGACACAAGAAATGCTATCTCTGCCCTCTTGGGGTTTATAGTCTAGTGAGGGAAATCACACACACTCTCTTCTCTCTCTCTCTCTCTCTCTCTCTCTCTCACACACACACACACACACACACACACACACACACACACACACACACAGAGGAATAACCACTACTCAAGACAGAATGTGCTAAGGGCCTCAGGAGGAAGGAAGCCTTTCTTCCAGCTGAGGAAATCAGGGGAAGATTCCTGGAAGAGGTGGTTTAAAGGAAGGATAGAATTGCCACAGGAAACATTTGTTCTGTTTGAGCTTGGGGTGAAGAGGGGGTGACGTCAAGGTTCCTATAATGGGCTCACCACCTGATTGGAGGATCATGGGAAGGGTCCTCAGAGGACACCTCATCCAACTTTCTCATTTTACAGAAGGGGAAACTGAGGCACAGAGAAGACTTGCCCAGGGCCTACCTCTCCATCTAGAAGGGGTCTTTGGTCATCTCCTCCAACCCTCCATTTTACAAATGAGAAAGTGGCTTGCTCAGGTTCAAACAACCGGTAAGTGCCAGTGGTGGGATCTGAACTCAGGTCTTGCCAATCCCAAGTCCAGTCCTGAGGCCCCTAGCTGCCCACAGATCTCGAGCCTACAGGGGCCACGGAGGGCAGAATCCCAAAAGCTCATGTTTGCATAGCTCTTTAAGGCATAATAACAATGATAACATTGCTATAGTCATTTAAAGTTTGCAAAGTCCTTTACCAATGTTTCCTCATCTGACCTTCACACTAAACCCTGTGAGGTCAGCACTGTTAATTATTCTAATTTTACAGATGAGGAAATTAAGGCTGAGAGGTGATGTGCCCACAGTCACCCAGGTGGCAGGGACGGGCAGAGGCTGCATTTGAACTGGGTCCTATGCTTCTCTCACACCCTCATCCAACTCCTGGGGTGGGAAATATCTTTTTTTCCCCCAGAAGTCATGCTCCCAAAGAGAGTTCAGTCCCACAGTTCCATGATGGCTCTGCCCCTCTACCAGGTAGTTGCAAGAGGGTTGGTTTTGGGGTCAGAGGACCTAGGTTCAAATTCTAGCTCTTGGGACCCTGATCCTGTCCCTTCCCCACTCTGACCTTCAGTCTCTTCCTCTGTAAAATGAGGATTGGGCTAGATGACCTTTCAGGTCCCTTCTGGCTCTAGGATATCCATCATCCTTTAGGTCACTTTCTCTCCTGCTCTGACCTCAGTCTCCTCCTCTGTAAAATTATAGTTGGGCTAGATGACCTCTGAGGGCTCTTCTGGCCATCCAGCTAGAATCCTAATCCAAGGGATCTTTTCCCATTTCCCAGCACTGATATGAAAAGGGAAGAAAACCTTGGATCTTGTCCTTGTGGAAGGCCCAGGGAAGCTCCCCCAGCTCAAGCCCCAGGGGCTGGCCTTTCAGTCCCAGGTTATCTGTCTAGGGACTTCACTGCCTCATGATCTACAACACTTCTCTTTTCATGGAAAACAGGTTTGGGAATAAGCAGCTAGGCCTGCCTTGGGGAAACAGGCACATGAAGAAGGACCCCACCACTTGTAAGCCTGGTCTCTTCCTGCCTCAGCTTCCCTGCCTGAAAACCAGGGAGAAGAACTGGGCCTGGCTTTGTCTTATGAGTCAAGAAACTGGACCAAAGGTTCTCTGAGGGCGGGAGCTCTGAGACCCAGCACTGGAGCTCTGCAGCCCAGAAGGGGGCCTGAGAGGCTCTTTGTTTTTACAGATGGGGAAACTGAAGCTGGGGTAAGGGCAGTTCCTTAGGTTCACCATTCGAGAGCTAGAAGGACTTTGGAGGTCACCTAGTCCAGTCCAATTCAGAGGAGAAAATGAGGCCCCAAAAGGTCAAATGATCTGCCCACGGCAACACGGCCAGGAAGCAGGAGGGCCGGGATTTCAACTCATGACCTCTGTCTCTTTTTGCCCAACCACAGCAGAGAGATTCTGAGGACAAAATTAGTCCGTATGCCCTTTCACTTAAAAAGACAAACACATGCCTTGGAGTCCCTTAGGGAAAGCAGTGCTTTCCCCCTGCCCCCAAAAGGAGGCTGGGAAACACTACCAGGAAGAGAATCACGAAATCCCAGAATAGAAAGGGACCTTAGACTTTGTCTGAGACAAGATTCTCCAACTAGAGCATCCTGAATTGGGGGAGTTGGGGAAGGAGCAGTCACCTAGGCTTTGCTTGAATACTTGTAGTGATGGAGAGCTTACTATCTTACAAAGCAGCCTGCCTTCTGTAAAGGCCACCCAGGAGTGGCAGCCACACAGAACAGCTCAGATCCTTCATCCCTATGACAGACAGGTAACACACTGCTCTCCCAGTCAGCTTTCCCCACTGCCCAGAAGGACCTTCACGTCTCACTCAGGTTCTTAATTCAGTCTCAGGTGAAGCCCCAAAAAGGGATATGAAAGTTTGACATGGTGGAAAGTGTGCTGGCCTTGGAATCAGAGGACCCAGCTTCTCTTGTGGGCACTGATGTTTGCACCTGTGTGGTGGTGGGAAGTCAACCTTTCTGAGTCCCTCTTTCCTCCTGGGGAAAGGGCTGGAATAAAGGCACTGACTGACCAAAACAGAAAACGAGAGGGATGGAATCTACGGCCTCTGACGTCCTTTCTGCCTCTAAAGCCATGATCCACTGCACTGGGTCTCAGTTTCCTCCCCTGTAAAATGAGGGGGTGTCAGAACATAATAGGTGTTTAATACATGCTGACCTACCTCCTCTTCCAAACCATGCATCAAGCCCAGGTTTTGCCTTCTACACTCAGCTCCCTCACTTTCCTCTTTGAGGTGCTAACCCACTTCTATCTGTGGGCCAGCTACCATGGGCATCCCTTGCCTCTGCTAGGGCAGAGACCATTTTGCCCTCCTTCCCCCAACCTCCTGTGTACCCTGTATTATGGCAGAGCCCTGGACAGGAGTCAGGAGGCCCAGCTCAGCAGCTGTGACTTCCTCTCTGCGACTCTGTTTCCTCATCTGTAAAATGGTTCTGAAGCTGCCTGGAGAGCCCACCTTACTGGGCAGGGCATTCACAGCTCTGAGGTTGACCCTGCATGCCATAAGCACTTAATAAATGCAGAGTTGCTTCCAAACCGTTGTTTCTTTTGATGCTCAGATGGGTCTTTATTATTCCCATTTTTCAGAACTGGAAAGCAAGGCCAAGTGAAGGCCAAGATTGTGTGGTCAGCTGTGGCTGAGTGAGGGCATGGACTGGAACCCAGAGCTTCAAACTCCTGGGTTGGGACTCATTCTACTACACTGTAACTGGGGTGCAGATGAACTGCTTCCCACACGGCCATGATCACTGCTTATACCCCTCCCCCCAGCACCTTTAATAGCTCTAAGAACTTACTCTAGAGCTGGGGGGGGGTGGCTCTTGCCAGGCCCCCTCCTTTGCTCTCCCCCTAAAAGTCAGGATTCACCCATGATGAGCTAAATGATCTCTGACACAGGAATTCCTGCACCAGTGATTTCCCTAGAGAGGAGTCTAGAAATAGTCACCTAACGTCAGCACCATAATGAACTGTGAAACATGGAATATTATAGCACAGAGCCAGCTGGGACCATCAGAGCTGGGAGGGGCCTGAGAATAGGGGATGTCAGAACTGGGAGGGAGCTTAGAACAGGGAATGTCAGAGCTGGGAGGGAACTTAGAACAGGGAATGTCAGATGGGGGAGGGAGCTTAGAACAGGGAATGTCAGAGCTGGAGCAGAACCTTAGAGCAGGGAATGTCAGAGCCAGGGTGAGGGGGTTAGTCTTTTGAGAGGACAATTCAAAGCTTGGGATTTTACAGCCGAAGTTAACGAAGGCCTGGAAAGAGGTCTTGCTTCTGAGGTCATGCAGAGAGTAAAAGGCAGAAGGGGGCATGAGGGGGCTGGGGGCCTGACCCAGGTCTTTTCTCCACAAACCCTGAGCTCTTCCCACTAACCACACTTCCTCCCATGGAAGCACAAGTCAAGCAGTCCTGCGCCTCCCCCCCCCCCCCCCCCCCCGTTCAGATCGGGCCACAGCCGGTAGGTGGGTCTGTGCAGATGTGCCCAGGGGAGGAGTGAGTTTCTGAGCAGGGTTCTTACAGTGGAGCAGAAGGCAGGAGGCCACTGATGCGGGACCAGATATTTCTGTCTGTTCTAATTTCGGGCCAACAAAGATGGGCTCCCAGGGACTTCCAGAGGCTGCCTTCTAACTTCCTGTGGGGGAAGCCACCTCCTCACAGGTGGATGGCCCCATCTGTCACTGGCCCTCCCTGGCCCCCAGAGCTGCCCTCCCAGTCCTCACAACTCGGGCCTACAGAGCCTCTCCCCTTCACCATCTCCTAGGCCCCCCTGCAGCCTTTAGAACCCCCCAGAGCCCCCAGATGGGCCCTGAGAAGGTGCCTGCTGCAGCCTGCTTCCCTAGGGTTCCCTGTACCAAGCAATACCAGGGGAGCTGAGAGCCAACGTGGAGCCTGGACCATCTGGGAGGGCCTCTGTGGGCCATGATGCCCCAAGTTCAGACAAGTAACTTTGTTTCAGATATACACCTATCCTCCCCCACCCTTTACTGAAATGCCTCAGAGGACTCAATCGAGGCCGCAGTCCTAGGGTCCTGGGCAGGGGCCCCTGGAGAGGAGGGGTCATGGGCAGGAGACAGAGGGACCCGAGGAGGATGTTGGACCGGATTACCTTCAGCAGGAAAGTTTTCGGCTTGGGTCCCCTCTTCTTCGGCCCATATAGCTCCCGCTCCCTCTCCCTGGAGAGGAGAGACCCAAACATGAATTGAGAGACACCCCCCAACCAGCTCTCTCTCCTTCCACGGATCCTAAGGCAATGCAACTCTGGCCTCTTCCCCTCCACCCCTACCCCCACCCCCCAACTCACTTCTGCTCGAAAGCGGCGATCAGCCTAGAGTCCAGGATGTTTTCCTCGGGTTCCCAAGTGCTGTACCTGCAAAAACACACATGCAAAAAGGGGGGAAGTGGGAGAGGCGTGAGCACACCAGGCCAAAAGCAGAGCGAGCCCCCCAGGTTTGCAAGAGACCCCCTGGAGCGCAGGCAGCCAGCGGGCAGCAAGCAGCCGGTGCAGCGCTGGCCAGAAGGGCACTGGGCACTGGGCACCGGGCTGCTGCTGCTGTTGCTGCAGGAGGGAGGAAGGGAGGGAGGAAGATGGAAAGAAGGATGAGAGGAAGGCTGGGAGGGAGGACCGATGGCTTTGCAAAGAGCGGCCTCCCGCGACACTCACTTGATCGCCCATCCTTTCCATTTCACCAGGTACTCGATGCGTCCCTGAAAAACAGAGAGGAAGAAGGTGAGGAAGATGAGGAGGAGGAGGAAGAAGAGGAGAAGGGGGAAAGGCGCAGCAGGGAGAGAGACAGGCAGCACAGTGCAGGTCAGCGCCCGGCTTGCAAGGCACTGACCTGACCTCCGCTGCACGGGCCCGGGGCCGGTGCAAGGGCCCGGGGCCAGGGTGGGGGAGGGGCGGCCGCTCACCTTTCGGATCCGCCGCTTGATGATGGATTCGGCCGCAAACACCCGCTCTCCCACTGCAGACAGCTCCATCTTGTTCAACAGCGCCCACAGCCCATAATACTTGAGCTCCCTCCTCCCGCGGCCGCTGCTGCACCGCTCGCGCACGCGCGCCCCGAGCACCCAGACCCAGACACGCTCCAGCTCCGGGCCCCCGCCGCTCCCCGGCTCGCCTTCAGTGGCTCGCGCCGCCGCGCGGGCACCACGTGACCGGCACCGTTACCAGGGCCTACACCTCCCCGGGGGCGGTTGCTAGGGAAAGGGAAGAGCGCGCGCTGGCTCTTAAAGGGACCCCGCCCCCAAGAAGACTGGAGGGGGAGGAGGAGGGAGAAGAAGAAGGGAGGAGGAAAGAGGAGGAGGGGGGAGAGAAGAGGAGGGAGGGAGGAAGACGGGGAGGGAAAGAGAGGGAGGTGGGAGAGGAAGGAGGAGGAAGAGGAGAGGGATGGGGGGAATAGAGGAGGAGGAAGAAAGAAGAGAGCAAAAAGAGAAAGAAGAGGAGGGAGAGGGAAGGAGAAAATGATGAAGAGGAGGGAAGAAGGAAGAAAGGAGGAGACAGATGTGGGAGGGAGGATGGGAAGAGAGGGGAAGGAGGAGGAAGAGGGAGGAAAAGAGGGGAAAGGAAGAAGAGGGAAAGGAGAAGAGAAGAAAAGGAAGGGAAAGAGGAGACTGAAAAGAAGAGAGAGAGAAGGAACCAGGAGGAGGGGGAGAAGGAAAAAAACAGAAGGTGGAGAGGAGAAGGAAGGAGGGGGAGAAAGAGCTGGGACTCCCTGGCTTTTGCAAAGCACCACGGGGATGCGATGCTGCAGTATAAGCAGTGCTCCCAGCCCCTCCGCAGGCTGCAAGCCTCCGCCTAGGGCCACCCTGCCTTTAAGCAACTGGGGCCTCAGGCCAGGCAGCCACAGGGCTCTCCAGGGAGTCCGGAAACGTAGCGGGGTCTCTGGGCCCCTCCATGGGGGATCCTCTCCACCCCGCGTTTGCAAACGGTGACAAGCGAGGCAGCCAAAATGCCTGCCGATTTTCCAGCTGTTTCCAGTTCTTTTAACATCTGCATTTATTTGTGTATTGGGGGAAAAGGGTGATGCGGCCAGTGCACATGTATTAAAAAGACACCCCACCAAATCCATGTCCTGCACCTCCACGAAAATACCACTCTCTTGGGAAGGAAGGCAGCAGGAAGAGGGTGCTTAACTGGGAACGATCGAGGACTTGTTATCTCGGTACCTTAACCCTTCCACTGATTGGAGTCCACTGACCGGCTCTGCCGATGGTAGACCGACCTAGGCACTGAAGCACGACAGACCCTCCCAGTAATCCCAGCCTGGGCCTTCACCTCTTTTTTCACTGTCGAACCTCACAAGACGACTGAGAAGGGAAACTGAGGCTCAGCCACGAGGGCTTGCCCAGCGGTACACAATGATAGAGCCAGTTCTTTTGACTCCTCGCCCAGCACCCCCTCCCCTGAACCAGTTTATTCTGCAGGGAAGAGGGACCTAATTCGAGTCATAGTGAGGCCTTCATTAGAATTTAAGCTTAGAGCAGGGCCTCTTAACCCGCAGGTTAGTGGATAGATTTTAGAGGGTTCATCAACTTGGACGGGAAAAAATGACATCTTTATTTCAATATAATTGTTTTCTTTCATAAGCCTTTATACTTTCTTTTATGCAACCAGACATTATTCATAAGCCTCACCAGATTGCCAATAGAGGTTCTGCCAGCTGGAAAAGGTTAGAACAGGGGAGGCAATTATTAAGAGCTTACTGTGTGCTAGTCAATGTGTTAAGTGCTAGGGGTACAAAGAAAGGCCAGAACACTGCCCCTACCTCCAAGGAACACACAAGACACATAGAAGACATATGTTATGTTGATAATCTCAAAGAGGGGGGTATGGGAGGGGACCTGAAAAGGCCTCCTGTAAAAGTCGGGATTTGAGCTGTCTTAAAGTCAGAGACAATGGTTAGAGGGGGAGGGAGAGCATTGCAAGCATGAGGGACAGCTAATGCAAATACTGGGAGGTGGGAAATGCCATGTTCCAGAAATGGCAAAAAGGCAAGGTCAGTGGATTGTAGAGTATTTGGGGGAGGAGAGGGACAGATTGTAAGAAGTCTGGAAAGGTAGGAAGGGCCCAGGTTGTAAAAGCAACCTTTGGAGTTTATTGATAGGGGTGGGGGCAATGTGGTCAGATCTGTGCTTTAGTGAAATCCCTTGGAGGATGGAGTGGGGAGACAGTTGAGGGTCAGGGAGACCAATCAGAAGGCCATAGCAACAGAGTGATGAGAGCCTGTATGGGAAAGGTGGCAGTGTGAATAGAGAAGAGATATGTATCAGATTTGGATCCAGGATGACGCTGAGGCGCCTGGGGAATTGGAAGGTCTGGACAGTGTCCTAGTCATAGTGAGGAAGTTCAGAAGAGGGGAGGGTTTTGGAGGAAAGACACTGAGCTCTATTTTGGTCATGCTGAATTTGAAAAGGCCATTTGCTGATGCTGGCCCAGAACTCAGGAGAGACTCGACTAGTTAAGTAGAGAATTTGGCTGGATAAAGCTGAGAATCAGAGATGATCTTGGAAGCTAGTGAGATCTCCAAGAGAAATAATAGAAAGAGAAAAAAGAAGAGGGTCAGGATGCCCTCAGTTAGTGGGTATAATGTGACAAAAGCTCATTTTATTAGCTAGCATTTCTACAAAGCTACTCTAAGGTTTGCAAGGTGTTTTATAAATCTTATCTCATTTTAACCTCGTAACAACAGGAGGGAAGGGGAGAATAGGTACTGTTGTTAGCCTTATTTTACAGATAAGAAAGCTGGGGCAGAGAGGAGTTAAGTAACTTGCCCAGGTCACATGGCCAGTAGATGTCAGAGGCAGAATTTGAACTCAGGTCTTCTGGATTCCAAATCCAGTAAAGAAACAGAGGAGTAGTTAGACAAACAGGAGAACCAGGAAAGAGTAGTGTCACAAAAACCAAGAGAGGTAAGGGTAGCCCAGAAACATGGAGTCTCAGAGCTGAGTAGAAGCTTAAAATGGAAAATGTTAGAACTTAAAGGCTCTTTAGGACTAGGCCCATTCCAGTTGTGACATTCTCTATTCTAACGTTCCCACAATTCCAAGATCCCTGACCATGTGGAGAGAATCTGCTCTGAGGCCCCTCCCGGCTCTGGTGTTCCCTATTACAAGGCTACACCCAGCTCCAACACTGGCCTTAGAACAGGGGATGTCAGAGCTGGGAGGAGCCTGAGAACAGGGGATGTCAGAGCTGGGAGGGGCCTGAGAACAGAGCATGTCAGAACTGGGAGGGGCCTTAGAACAGGGAATGTCAGAGCTGGGAGGGGCCTTAGAACAGGGCATGTCAGGGCTGGGAGGGGCCTGAGAACAGGGAATGTCAGAGCTGGGAGGGGCCTTAGAACAGAGCATGTCAGAGCTGGGAGGGGCCTTAGAATAAAAGATGTCAGGGCTGGGAGGGGCCTTAGGTCATCTGGTCTCACTTTCTCATTTTGCAGAAGAAGGAGCGGAGGCCACAGAAGGGGACTGAGCTGCCTCAGATCACTCAGCTGTCCTCTGGGCTGGTGGGATTTGGTGCCCAGAGGCTTCTGACTCTAGGGCCAGAGTTCCTTCTGCCCCTCCCCCATGCCTCCCAGTCTGAAGGCCCCTCTCCTGTTTGGGAAGGGACCCATAAAGATGGAGTCAGCAATCTGATCTGTTGTCAAATTGTTTAAAAAGAACGAGAAAGAAAAAATTCATGAATGTGAAACAATAATATTTATGTAAAATCTGTCAAAAAGGAAGCAAGGTTTAGGTTAAGCAGGCCATCTGCTGACTCTGTGGGAGGCCCAGCTGGGAAGGCACCGACACTGGCCTCTCTGGGAGCCCTTGGTCAACGGCCTGGAGTGGGGATCCTAGCCTTGAGACTTGCAGGCTCTCAAGGCCAGGAGATCCTGCCCCTCTGCCCAGCTCCCTCCCTGAACTTCTGGGCTGCTTGGCCCGATGGTTCTTCGGAAACACGGTAGGCCAGCTCTGGGGACCTGGAAACCCATGGTGAGGGAGGCCCAAGGTCTGGCTCTGGGGCCTGGCTTTGTGTGCCTGGCCTCCAGCTTCCCCCTCCCCTGCTCCTAAATAGTTTGTATCTATTCTGTAGTTATCAGGTTACATTGTTTCCTCTAGTAGTCGGTCAAGAAACATTATGTAGCACTTAGTAAGTGCCCGGCACAGTGTTAAGTGCTGGGGATACAAAGAAAGGCAAAAGACATTTCCTTTCTGTGCTACCTAAACCCATTCCATATCTGAACTACTGCGACTTCAGAAATATTTAAGTCACTTTTCTGATTTGTTTTATTTCAACTGAAACTCGTCATTATGAATTAACATCTGACCATGTTACAGTATATCATATAATAAACTTAACATAACTGACTACAAAAAAGAGACATTCCCTGCCTTCAAGGAGTTTACAATCTACTAGGGATGCAGTATGCAAACAGCCAGGTGTAAACAAGACAGAGACAGAATACATTGGAGAGAAACAACACAAAGAAAATGCTCACACTGATGCTGAAATGGCAGCTCTTCGAGGGCAGAAACGGTTTCATTTTATTCACTTTTGGTTTTAAATCCCTAGTACCCAGCACAATGCTTGGCACATAGCAGGCACTTAATAAATGCTTGTTGAATTAATGAATGAATGTCAAATGTGCCACTGGGATTGGATAAACCTCAAGGTTGAAATCAAGCCAATGTAACAAACATTTATTGAGCAGGACACCTTTGTAAGTCAGCTACCAGGCTAATTCCTGGGAAGGCAGTGTGGTGCGGTGGAAAGTGCCCTGACTCGGGAGTCAGGACTCAGGTTCAAATCCCACCAAATCTGATACTAGGTAGCTGTGTGACCTTGGGCGAGCCACTTTCTCTGACCGAGTTGGGGTATCCTGCTCTAAAAGGGATTTGGGCTTCAGCCAGGGCTGCCCACAGGGAATGGATGCACTTGTCATTGATGACCTGAGTCATCTGGATTTGAGGGCTCTTGTCCTACCCAAATAGGCATTATATTCCCCCAGCACAGTGTTCTGCACCCAGTAGGCACTTTATAAGGGTAGTGATCTACAAGTCCCATTGCTCCCCTAGTTACTGGCCAACCCAACCTCCCCTTTAATCTGTCTGAGAAGCCACCACAGG